GCACTTCATGTATTTGTACCTTTATTTTGGATTCGTTCTTTTGACTACATCCATTTGTGTACCCATCTTCGTTTTGAGGCCGTTCAATGTTGTCAATTTGGGGTTGGAATATGTTTTTTTTTTTAGAAATTTAACTTAGTATTTAAGTTTTTAACCAGTTGGAGTTTGAACTAAAACCAACCTAACTAAATGTAACTTAGAAGCATTATTAAACTAATTAGATAAGAAATTAGGAGCATGAAAGTTTAAAAAGTTTAGTAAGTAGTATATGAAATCAGACCAAGATGTTGACCTCAATACTGATCTTAGATTAGTCATTTGCTGTTAAATTAAATTGATTAAGTTTGAAACAAATTGTATACATTTTATGCCATACTAATGACTATTGCAGGCTGATTGTAAAAGTTTGGAAGAAGACTTTTCAGATTTTTGGAATAAATGTGAAGGTTATTGACAAAGAGAACCTAACTAAAATAAATGACTTGTTTATGTATCTCATCAAAGTTCTCTGGATTTGATACGTTAGTAAACCTACTTAAAATGTTGAATGTTAATGAATATAAATTGTTATCTAAAATTAATGTGATGTGTTGCACATTTCACTTGCAGGCTGTGCTCGAGAATCTAGATTTCACCTATTACAATGATGAAATTTCTACTTATTTCTTGATTCACTTATTTGTTATTTTATTTAATTTTAGTTTTTTTATTTACTAAATAATAAATAAAACTTCATAACAGCAATGGCTGAGGTGCTGCCACCTGACACCACGGCCCTGGCCAAGAAAGAACTCGTGTACCTGGGTAGCTTCGGGATTGCCGCCTGGCTCAGTGGGATAATATTCGTCGACCGGGCCAACCACACCAGTGCCATCAACACCATGAAACACGTGGCTGAAATTATGAAGGAAAAGAAAGTTAGTGGTTAAGAATATAAGAGATTTTTAAAAATTAGTGATTGGGGAGTTAGGAAGTTTTGCTATTTTTGTCTGCAGTGTTGATGTTATCGTTTGATAACTAAATTATAAATTATATTTGCATGCTTGTCATTTACACAATATTTATTCATTGATTTTCGTTTTTTACCATACGAATTTACAAATTAGGCAAATATTTGGATCTTCCCAGAAGGAACAAGGAGCATGAAAGGTACCCTGCTGCCATTCAAGAAAGGTGCCTTCCATCTTGCTGTTGGTGCCCAGGTGAGGGGAAAATATAATTTCTATTTATTATTAGTAATTTGATTATGTAATAAATATAAATTATGGCTTAAGAAATTATTAATATTATCTCATCTTAATGTAGATCCCCATTGTACCTGTCATATTCTCAAACTACAAATCATTCTTTGACCATGAAGATCCAACTTTTGAAAAAGGTTTCATACTTTTCTTCCTTGTTCATATTGTTATGCCCATACTTTGCTGCGTTGTTGCTTCATTTGAATGGAAACGTAGGTTATGTTATATGTTTTATTATCATGTATTTACGTTGTTATGTCGTAACAATGATTGGAATGTTACGGAAAGCACAAAAAGCAAAACCTAAATATAATTATTATTACCAGGTGAAATTGTAGCAACCTGCCTCGAAGCAATCTCAACAAAAGGACTGACGTCAGATGATGTCGACAGCCTAATCCAACAAATCCGCGAAAAAATGCTTCGAGTTTTTCACAAGAACGATGACCCGAACAAAATAAATTGACCCCCACACAACCACATGACCTTATGAAATTGCATAGAACTTGCATACGTATATTTATATTTTATTGTTAAGATACAAAAATATATGTATATATTAATAATGATTCTAATGCGTATCAATGCTGGGCTAGCTATATTTTTTATGGCAAAATGTAATAATGGCTGTTAATATTGTGATTATTGATATTATTAATTATTTTATTGTTGTTGAGGTATTTGTTTGTTTTAAAGTTCTCCTAGATTAGTTTCATTCATTCATTTATTTTGTTACAAGATTCCCGGCGATTAGTGAATGTCGCAATTAGATAAATAAAAATAAATAAATAAAAATAAATAAATAAAAATAAATAAATAAAAATAAATAAATAAAGAGATGTAACATGTAATTGTTATTTCATAGAGTGATTATGAACATGGCTAATCAGTTTGTAGACATTTTTTTTAACGTTAAACAAATGTCATTCAGGTTGAATATCATTATCAATCAGCCAATGAAATTATCGCTTCTTTATCCATGTCTCGTTTATTTGACCAATCATATTTCCCCGTTTATTTTTAGATTAGTTGATTGACCAATTAGATTTGTCATTCATCATTAGCATGCTAAATTTATTCTCTGATAGAATAGATGGAACTGTTGATGATACTTGTTAATTTTACAGCCTGCATTCTATTAGTCATCTAATCATATTGTCGAGTTAGCTCCCATTTCCACCACCAAATTGTATTTTGTTTTCAGTTTCTGTCAACCAATCACATCATCTCTATATTTTAAATCAGCTCATTAGATTTTATTATTATTTCTGCCATCCAATCACAATTAGTCAAACGATTGAACCTTTTCAGTATTCCACTAAGTACTGACCAATGAATGAATTAACAGATTTTGCAGTTGTAGTGTTTTAATTTATTTTTGTTAGAATTATTCTTTAAATTAATTAGACTTTTATTTTAATTTTATGAATTCGCTCGATAGTTTTGAAAAATGAACAAATAAAATTGTGAATAAACTTGCATTTTTTCAATTCAGTGATCAAATTTGGAGTATCATCTTTAAAAATAACTCAATACGTGCATCAACAAATAGTGTTCACGATAATATAGTGAGAAATATTCAACTGAGTCAAATAAAACATGTGATTATGTAACTAGGTCAATATGTTAATTAAATGCTTAATCAATAAATTAATAATTATTGAGTGTTCTTTAATAATAATTTGAGACTATAAAGTATGATAAAATCCTGGTGCCAAGTTAATAATTAACATAAATATTTTAATACAAATGATTGCTTTGATATGTAGATTGATGGATCAAAACTGAGTGAATGAATGAAAAAATAAATGTAATTGAACAATTGAATGAACGAGGAAAAACATTTAACTCAAAACGAATAATCGTCATTAATTTAAAACCAACGCCAAAAAGCCGATAGAAAATGATAACAACTTCATAAAAACATTTTTTTTCTCTCGATTTGTATCCAGTACCCAGTAAAGGTATCCAGTTCAGCCTGTCAAACAGCTGTCGTTCTTCCCATTTGGATGAGTGTCTGTTGCTGTTTGAATGTGTGTAAATTTATATGTGTATGTATGCATGTATGTGTGTGTATATGTGTTGTGTGCGTCTGTGTGTGTTTGTGTGTATGTATTAATTTAAAAAAACATAACTTACAGCCTTATTCGTTTTATTTCTCATCACTTTCTCCAGCTCATCATTAAAACTTTTAACTTCTATATTAGCACCGAGACGATTATCATTACCACGGCTTTCGTTATTATTTTTATTATTGTTGTTGTTGTTATCGTCATCGTCGTCTGCCAGGCGATATATAAGTAGGTAGGGAGTTTCCGGTTCCGGCAAACTGCAGACTTCTTCAAATGTGACTTGATAGACCCTATCATCGTCCATCTTGTACCAGACATCTTTGTCGTCGAGGTTGCTCTTGTTGCTTTTAATGATTCCGTCGTCTTCGTCAGTGTGAGTGATGCGAGAAATTTCGCTGTCAACGTTGACGTAAATGTCGTCGCCGCCCTTGCTGCAGGTGCCAATCGTGCTCTTCTTGCCACTAGCTTTCTTGTTTTTCTCGTTGTAGATACTGGTCATGAGTTTGTTGTACTCCAAGCTGCGAGCAGTAAGCGGACTGTCAAGACTCTCCGAACTGCTGTATTGGATGGTGCAACTCCCTGAGTCTTCGTTGTCGTCCGTGTTCATCTTGTTATCGTCGTCAGACTTTTTATCGATGTTGTTGTCGGCGTCATCTACACTCGCGTTTGTGTTGTTGTTGTCAGCAATGCTCAAGATCATGTCGATGTCATCTAGGTTCATGTTTTCGTTGTCAACTACGTTCGTGTTGATGTTGTTGTTGTTGTTGTTGTCATCTATGCCCACAAGGTTGATGTTAGTGTTAATGTCATCTGTATCCATCTTGATGTTGTTGTCTTCATCTTGAAAAACAACAATAACTCTTTCTCCTTCCTTTTCTCTTCCCTCTACTTTTTCCCATCCTTTCTCATCATCAGACTTTTTTTCAATAGTTTCAAGTCTACCGGAAAGATTGAAACCGGTGGATACGGTTTCATCCCCGCAAACATCCAGCAGGAAATCACCAGGTAGTTGCAAATTCAAGTTTTCATCTATGCCCTCACTAAACTCGCTCGCCATTGGTGTTTCTTCACGCTCCCCCCCAGTGACGTCATAGTAGGGATGTGACGAGAAAGAAAGTGATGTGGAGGAAGTGGGTAGAGACGATGACGTCGATGATGTCTGTTGTTGTTGTCGTTGTAGTGGTGGTGGTGGTGGAGGAGAATTCTTCAATGGTGAGAGAATTGAAGGCGGTGATGGGCGATGATGTAAGGCTTTCTCTTGCACTCTCGAACAGACAGATGCCGCTGGCGTTTTCGTAGGGAGCGGTGGTGGCGATGGGGATAATATGTTCAGTACAGGAAGAATTTGTTGAGGTTTTAACGAAGATGGTGAATGTTGGGGTGGGGGTGGCGGCGGGGGCATGGATGAACGGGTATTTTGATAGTGTAGGGGTTTCAGCTGCTGCGTTTGAAATGATTTCGGTTGCCTAGATATAAAACTGTAGTAGTGGCCTGATTCTATAGATGATCCAATATGAACTACTACAGATTCCAACTTGTACTTCTTATTTTGCTCCATAGTTTCCATTTTATTGTCATCTCTCCTGTCACGTTCGCCCAACTCCGCCAAACTTTTTATATTTACATTTTCGCAGCCATGTGTGCTCGCGTCGGCGGCTTCTTCTTCAGTTATTGGTACATCTTCTATCATTTTCATTTTTATATTGTCATCTTTTTCATTTACTCCTGGTTTCTGACCAGTTTCAACAACTTGAATGTCTTCCCATTTGAAACCATCCAAAGATTGCGTCTCTCTCTCCTCCTCCTTCACCTCCTCCTCCTTCTCCTCCTCCTTCTTCTCCTTCTCCTTCTCTTCCTTCTCCTCCTCTTTCTTCTTCTCCTCCTTCTTCTTCTTCTCTTCCTCCTCCTCCTTTTTTTCCTCCTTTTTTTCCTCCTCCTTCTCCTCCTCCACCTTCTCCTCCTCCTTCTCCTTTTCTTCCTTCTCCTCCTCTTTCTTCTTCTCTTCCTCCTCCTCCTTCTTCATCCTCCTCCTCCTCCTTCTTCTCCTCCTCCTTCTTCTTCTTCCTCTTTTCCTCCTCCACCTCCTCATCCTCCCTCTTCTTCCTCTTCTTCTTCTCTTCTTCCTTCTTCATCTCCTCAGTCTTCCCACCGCCACCAATTGTTTCTTCATCTGCCTCCTTTTTCTTTTTATTGCTTGAAACATCATCATCGTCATCGTCGCCATCACGGTCGGTGTCCGTTTTAGTTAGTACCTTCTTCCTCCCACTTTCAACTCCTTTCCGTTCTTGGCTTCTTGATTTGTCTCTTTTAGTTCGTCGTTGCGGGGAAGTTGCCGGCCGCTCCTCGGCTACATTTCTGGCGTCCTGGCCAGCACTTCGATCCCCAGCCAAAACTGAACTGTCTGGACTGGCTCTAGATTGGCATAGCAACTCGATGTAACGCGGATAGTTGACCTTTGCCAAAATTTTCACGTTTCCAAAGTTCAGTTTATAGTGGAATCTGCAGAGATGTATGATGAGGTACCTGGGCGCCTTCATAAAGGAGCAACTCTTTTCGGCATCTCGCAGCTGGGTGCAGTTCTGGCAGTGGTACCGGTTGCTGCCGTTCAAAACTTCGGGTTGGATGTAGTGTCGGATCATGTCATCCAAGTCGTACGTTCGTGTTTCTTCAGAGTTCTGTAGGCGTGAAGCATGCGTAAGTTGTTGGGTGGCGATAGAAATAAATAAAATTTTGTGTATATCAAATTCAATAGCCACCGCTAGCCAATATCAAAGCAACACAACCAAACAAACTACCGACTGGCAAACCAACCAACTTACCAGCTCACCAACCAACTTACCAGCCAGCCAACCAACCTGTTCATCTTCTCGAAAGAAGGTTAATGACAAGAGATTGAATGGTTCTTTTTTATATGTGGAGGAGTTGCAAGTCAAACAATGTATAGTCCTTTGCATGCACCCTTCAAAATTTCTACTAACTATCGAATCAAACTGATCCAATTGTGGTTGTGTAGATGGTGGGGTATCTGCTGTGACCTGTATTGTTGGTATTGATGATGTCGTTGTGGTCGGTTCATGGGCTGTCGTTTCGTCAGTTGTTATTCTTGTATCCGATAGTAATGACGAAGACGACGATGAAGATGGAACAACTGGTTCAGACTTATTGTATGTATTTTTTGTGTATGCTTTCTTCAGCGGCAAAGAGGATGGTCGGCGGTTTATACACGGCTGTTGAATTGCCTCAGCTGATTTAGTACCCATTGAGTCTATAAAGCTTTCCAATGGTGGCAACATCTTTTGTGTCGACGACGAACTTGAAGCAATGTCCAATTGAAGTTCTGCCAAGTTGGTGTCGGGCGATCCTGAAGTCGTTTCAAATGTTGCTGCTTTAGGTGGCGAAATGGTTTGATACGTTTGTTGAGACAATCCATCGGCCGATGAAAGCAATGGTCTAACTATTGCCAAAGGAGCTGGCGTTTTAAACGTTGGTGCGGGCGTTGGTGCTGTTGTGGTGGATGTAGCCGCAGTTGGTGACGTTGAACATTGAAGCAAGTTAGTATGAGAGGGTGCAAGCATTTGTTCTGGCGGTTGCGACGATTGCACATGGCGCGATTGACGCAGACTTTCATCAAACATAGACTGCATATTAACGAACGTGGGAGAGGTTCTACCGTTCTCAATTGAATCTTGAAACGTATTGCAAATGTTCGTAACTAGCTCTGTCGTGTATGTATCAACTAACTTTTCCAAGATAGCGCATTCTGTACCATCCGGCACCAGCAAGTCCTGCAGCGACGGGTTCAAGTTGGCAATCGTTCGACTGCCACCCACTTCCATGTCTGACAACTCTGTTTGACGGACTCTCTCTAAAGAAGACTGTAACGCTGTTGTGGTTGTAGTTGTGGCTGCAGTTGTTGCAGGCAAAGTAGTACGGTCAGGTAGATGAAGTGATCGATACGTCAGTGAGGGCACCATTTTATGCGCTAATACGTTTTTAAACGTGGCAACATTGAATGGTGGGGATGTAAGTTTTATGCATGTCGTTGCAGGTGCAACTGAAGATGACGATACGGTTGAAGAAACATTTTCGGCTCTTATTTCACTTATTGCAGCTGCCACCACTGATGTTGTTGTTGTTGTTGTTGTAGCCACCACCACTGTTGTTGTTGTTGTAGCAGTAGTTAGCGCTAATGTCGTTGTCGCTGCAAACATTGTTGAGTCATTTGCATTTGGTTGGGCTTCAGAATGCAGGCGATCAAATAGGGAGGTCAAAAATTCGGAGCAATCGTGTTGGAAATCGTGGCTAAAATCTTTAGGTATCAGCAGGCTGTAGGCGTCGGACGGGTTGTAAACGTTGCCCTGTGATGTCTGCGAGTGAAAGATGGAAAGAACGCTGCCGTCATATCAGCATCTTTCTCAACATCAACACCATCATCATCACCACCACCATCATCACCATCATAACTTGACCGGTAAAAACTTGAGGTGGATGAATGCCTGTTGCAGAGCCCGACTGACTTTTTGAAAAGTTGGGTTAAAAGTCTTTGATAGGATTTCCTTGCGGAACCTTTGGTATCACAATCATCGTCGTCGTCATCATCATCATCATTATTATCATCGTCGTCGTCGTCATCATCACCATCATCATGACCTTACCTAACGCAGTTGAATAATGCCTGAATAATACAATTCACATAGCACGTGTTATTTAGATTGAGCAAGCCAATCACGGGAGTCGTTCTATTAAGGTTGCCCTTGTCGGTCTCCAAAGTGACCTGCCTCGTTTCAACTCGTCGGAATTTACCGATATATGAAAGATCTTCCACTAGCACTGGCCTCTCCAAATGACTAGTTCTTAAATTAAATAAAGCTGAGCTGTTGTTGTTGATGTCGATCGCCAGCGAGGGCCTACTAAAATCCGTCTGGTTTTGAAGTTCAGAATCCATGTTTTGTATGTCATTCGAAAGATTGACTTGCTCTCCTTCTGATGTATGTTGCTGATAAATTTGCAGTTTTCGATAGACGTGACTATGCAACTGCCATTTTTTTTCAAGGAAGTCGTGCATTTGGTCGATGTCCTCGGTGAAGAGATCCGGAAAACCCGCTGGGATGTCTAGGGAGCACTGACGAGCTTTGTCGAATATGTCCTGGACGCGGTGATGACGATGTTGTTGTTAGTGGGATGGAGAGTTTGCAAATTCGCAATCATCATCATCATTACCATCTCATATTAATCATCACCACCACATCATCACCCCGCCATCAAAACTAACCGCGCCAATTTCTTCAAAAAAGAAATCTTGAAGTTTCTCAGTGAGGCCCTTAACGAACATGACGTGCTCAACTAAGGTGACCAACAAGATGGCCGCCACGTGACACTCGCCCGTATTTATATGCAAAAGATGATTAATCACGTGGCAAACCTCACCTGGTTTCTTTCAGTGATGATGATGATGACGATGGTGAGTTTATGATGACGACGATGATGGTGATGATGGTAGGGATGGATGATGATGCTGACGTATGTTGATGACTAAAGAAATAATTGGATGAATTGATGATCGGATAAATGTGCGAACGAATAAATGAAGAAAAGGAGCCAACGAACAATAGAGCCATCATCATCATTACCATCATCATCATCATCACTATCATCACCAACTTCTGAAATGTAACTTTTTACAGTCCGAAGTCTCAACAATGAAACTTGGAGGTGGACGAACAAAAATGTGGCAGCCCATTTCGTTTTGACATTCATAATGTTTCTCAGTAACTTCAATGACATAATTTATTCATCCCATTAATATTCATGATATTGTTCAATTGATTTACATACTTGATTTTTTATAAATTTTATTTCTAATTACAACAACAGTAACATCTTGCGATGTGTGAATGTACAATGCAGACAGACAGGTGATCTGCTCAAAGATCGTGCGTGCTGCATGCTGCTAACAACAATGCTCCGCAAACTTTTTGGTCAGGTGCAGCGGTATTGAATTAAAAAGATACGACGCGGACCAGCTCGTGTACACACACACGCAGACACACGTTGCAATTTTTATTCAAAACACAATAACAATCAAATATGTTTCGGCATTGTAAAATAAGCCTGAGACGAATGAGCTAGCTTCTTTTTTATCAATTCTTCAAAGTGCGGTTGAAATGAGGCGCACAAACATCCAAACAGTTTCTGTATTTGATCTTCCTTACAATCATGCATAAAAAAGTGAATTCATATAACTAAGTCTGACTTAATGCTGATCTAAAAAATCCGAGCTAGCATTTTGTTATTTAATTTTCAACATTTTTGGTAGCTTGCCGCGGACCGGCACCTGTTGCCTCGCGGGCGACCCATTTGCGAAGCACCGGCATACAACTTTATATGCGTGTCGTGGGTCAGGTGCGAACGTCAGAGTACAAGTGTTTGTTTGTGTGCGTCGTGCGTGTGCTATGAAGCAGAGTAATATTTAATTGCATCTGAGCAAATGACAAATGTTCGTATCTAGAGCACTGAACGATTGAACAATAGGAACACACAATGATAAAAAATGGCGAACCTCAGGCGTGTGTTTTTGAGCCAAGCTTGTGACTAAATACTTTGAACGTTTTGTGGCGAGTAAGTTAAGGTAGACGACGATCAAAACGTCAATATTCTTCGAGTAGGGCCACATTGCCCAATGAAAGAAACGATTAGCAAAGGATGTCAGCATCTCATTATAGTCGGAAGGCCGTATTAATGGAACATCATCATGGAGAGACTTTGTTTTCACTTCAGAATTGGTCAAGCAAGCTAAATCGTAAAACAACTCTGGATCTCTAACAACCATGGTGAGGTATTGGTAGAATTTTTCGGGATTGCACTTATCGATGAGGACGGGTATAGCCAGGCAGATGTCGCTCGAGTAATCGTAGGCGCAGATGTTCATAACATGGAATTCTACTGCACGAAGCAGCAGGTCCGTGCAGACTGTTTGGAAATGCGAGTTATTCATGAATGTCATTATCTTCTCAAGTGCGTCTGCCACCTGAATGAGTGAGATCTTGTTCATTTGTAGTTGTTGTCGGTTGGGGTTTAAAAACTAAATTTAAATATCATAAAAATTAGAATGACTTGCATAATAATAAAATGTAATACAGCAGCTGAAAGAAAAGCTTACCGAGATGACAAAACTTTGTAGTGTTTCGAACTTGCTATCTCTCTTGTTGATCTTGAAATATGATAGCGTTTTAATCAAATTCTGGCAAAAAATTTCCAATTGTTTAGTCACATCTCTCAAATACATCTGATTCATTTGGTGCATGTGGTGGTTAAACAAGTTAGTCACAGCCACGAAATACATGAAAGATTTGTCTATTTCAACGAGTTTCAAGATATCTGAAATATTTAGACTGGCATAAAGTTGCGGATATGGTGAGCCGAACTCCATCAGAATCCCATCTAAAAGATTGACGACCTTGCATGGATTTTGTTGAACAAATTTATTTTCATAATTACAGATTGACACTAACAAAATTTCAAGTTGGTCGATTCTGTGACCAGCAATGTCAAAGAAGACCCTTCTAGTTTCATCAACGAGAGTCTTATGTTCGACTCTCAGATACACGTTGAGCAGTGATTGCAAATCGCATTCTAAGAATGAATATTGATTTAGTTCTTTTGAGAATGTGCTAATTGCAGCCAATCCAAACTCCACAGGAAGGGATTTATCTTTATGCATCCTTTCAAATGCTTCAACATATTTTTTGTCTGGTTTTATACCTGTATTTAGATGAAAAATTGTTAAATTTAAAAAAAATTTGTTGTTATAGTTTTCATTTGTTTACTCTTTCATGATGTGAAACTAAAGAACCTTTTTAAATATTGCATTTGAGATGTAAAATGACATTTGTAAATACATCTTTATGGGTTTTATTAATAACATTCATATGTGGAAAGTTAATAAAAAAATTATGTAATGGAATTAGTCATAATTAAATAAAAAATGTTTTAGAAACATTTGTTTAATAATATTATTTTTAATTTCATTAGATTTGCATGACTTTGTAAATTAGTTCTTTATTTGGTCGTTTGTTTGTTTGGTTGGTTGTTTTTCAAACCAGCCAGATTGAGCTCTATCCACCCCTTCAAAAAACTCGGCAGGAGTGTACCAAAATAAAACTTAATAAAATTAATTATTTTTAATTTTAACATCCACTTTTGAAAAAGTAGCTAACATAAATTTTAAATTATTCAGCTTGGCAACTCAAAGAAGTATGTTTTTATATGTGTTTGGAATAATTCCTCTTCTAATTAAAAACGGGTTACGGTTAGTTAGGTAGCCATTTAGCGTTGTTAGTGTTAGTTTAGTAGGAACTTTGAAATTGAAGTGAAATGTTGAAGAAATAAATACTTGATATTAATAAATAAAAAATTAATTTAAAAAAATCTCACTCATTTTGTTTTCGAAAATTTAAGCGACAAAATTTAAATTTTTAGGGAGGAAATTAATATTTAATTTAATTTTATTCAAATGCAAAAAATGCATGGCCCTTTAAATTTTGAAAAGGGCGCTATTTAAACTGTGCTTAAAAGTAAACTTATAAAAAACATAGATAAGCCAATTTTATATGATAGTTATTGTATCATTATGTAGATTGCTTGTTGTTCTGATGTCTCTAGACCATTTCATGTAGAGTGTGGCTGTTAGGTTGACGCCGTATTCCACAAATGGCTTTATGCCAACTAGAAGTTTGATGCAACACTAAAAGAATTTATCAAAACACCAACACAATATATGTAAAAATAGCAGAAGCTGTCCTAATAGATATCAATAAACTCCAAATTAACATCCAACTATGGATATTCATTCATTCAATGATCCTCTGTAGTCCCTTAAGGGACCGTTGAAGCCGATGGTATTCTTCTATCTCTCCAAAATCCTTTTCTTTCCCTCGCACATCTTCATTGAGCCCAATGTTCCAACCCCCGTCCATTCCGTGATATCATCCATCCACTTCCTCACAGGTCTTCCAACTTTTTTCTTCCAGTCCCTCTTTCTCATCAGTACTTTTTTGATCAGTCTGTCGTCTGTCATTCTGCAGATGTGCCCAAAAATACCCAGCTTTCTTTCCTTGACCCTTTCATACACAGTTTTTTGTCTTCCAAGTTGTTTTCTTATGGCATCGTTTCTTATCTTTTGTCTCCAACTGATTCCCAGCAACTTTCTATAACAATGCATCTCGAATGCTTCCAGTTTGTCTTTGTCTCTTTTCACCAACTTAGTAACTAACTGCTGAAGAACCAACTTTGCCTTGTTTTCAAGAAACCTATGTAAACCAAGATGGTTTGTGAAAAATCGAAATAAGACCTATCTGCCTATCTGCTTGATGAATTTGCATAGCAAGTTTTATTAAATTTTCATCTGATGAACTTGGATAACAATTTCATTTTTAATAAATTGAACAATTTTCATAAAATTGTAGTAAAGAAAATTGAAAAGACAAACTTTAAGTTGATTGATGCCAACAACTCGGTAGAATTCATACAATACTGTATAAAATTTGGTCTCCCTGTATTGTGTGAACTCTAACGAATTGTTAACATTAATCAATTTAAAGTTTTAACCTGTCTTATTTATATATATATATATATATATATATATATATATATATATATATTCGGTAGATTTCATAAGTTACTGCATATATATATATATATATATATATATATATATATATATATATATATATATATATATATACATCTATATTTATATGCACTTTCGTACATATGCAATGTATGTCTGTCAGTCTGTCTGTCTGTATGTCTGTCTGTATGGTATGTCTCTATGTATGTACGCACCTATGTATGTGTTGGAGTTAAATACATATAATAGCACGGCGTCGATCAGATAGATGCCAGCAGGCAATTATCCAGTAGCAATTTCCTTTTTAAATTGTGGCATTCAAATTATGGAATGTTGTTTGATTGAAGCCTTTCATGAAACCTTCCCATCCTCATCGCTCTATGACTTGCATTGCATGTAGGCATTTTTGCATCTTTCTTTCTCGATTGTCTCATGTTTAAACCGTATATTAACACACTCGCAACCACGCAAAAATTTTATCGTTGTTGTTTAGTTCATTAAAATAACTAAAATTGTTATAAACAATTTATCTGTAATGAAGGAAGTATCGTTACAAACTATTTTTATTAGTAGCGTACGAATGTATGAATGGGTACCCACTGTTCAAACACATAAAAAACTACTTTTTCCAATTCTTTCTCTCTCTTCTTTCTTCCCCCCCCCTCTCTCTCTCTCTCCATCTCTATCTTTTCCATGTTTCATCTATTCTCATGTATTCACAGTTCAATGTGCATTAATATATTATGTATGCGTATGTACTGTGCATGGTTAAATAAATTGTTTAACGCGCATTTCTAGCTATGTAAACACACATTCACACACACACACACACACATATATATATATATATATATATATATATATATTATATCTGTGTGTGTGTGCGTATGTGCGCGCGTGCGCGCGCAGTTTCATGTTGGATGGGTTGAATATAATATTTCAAGTGCTGTTTTTGATGGCTTAAGAAGTTTTACCTCTGTGTACGTTCACGGATGGTGCTTTAAGAGAATATTTACAAAATTTGCGAATATTTTTATTTAATTTATTCATTAATTTAATAAATAATTAGATTAGTAATTAATTATTTTTAATAATTTATTAATTTGTTTAATGGTTTTCGGTCGATTTGTTTGGTTTATATTTGGAGAAATATATTGAAGTTGCGAGATTCAGAAAGTAGAAAGTTTCATCATCGTTATCACCACCACCGTCTTCATCATCATCATCATCACCACCTCTTGATAGAAAGAATGGATGAAGTCGTGGTGAATGACAGAAACTGTTTCCCCGTTGGTTTCATTTACGAACTGAAAGGAATTTTCAAATTAGCCTGGCCAACGGTTCTGAAATTATTATTACCATTATTATTACAATTATTATTATTATTGTTGTTATTATTATTATTATTATTATTATTATTATTATTATTATTATTATTCAGTCGCTGTCCATATTGTTTCATTACTTCATCCAGCCGGTCAGCTTGATGTTTTGTGGTCATCTAGGTAAAAGTGAACTTGCGTCTGTAGCCATGGCCCTGTCGGTTAGTAAATCAGGAATGTACGAGTTTCTTAGTACCTCGTTGGGGTCGTATTATTAAACTTTGATAGTGTTTTTTTATTGAAGCGCTATATGAATGAGGTTTTTTTGATTTGAATTAGGTGATATACATAAGCTGCATAAGTATCGGGAGAGGTTTAGCATTCGGTGAAGATACATTTTTCTCGCAGGTGAATGAGTGAGTGAATGAATGAATGATAAAATGAAGGAGTGAGCGAATGAGTAAGTCAGTGAGTAAAGGATGAATGAATGAATGAAGGAGTGAATGAATGAAGGAATGAACGGATAGTTAAATATCATAATTTATTTACACGTAATTGATTTCAATAGACGTACGGGAGTACGAACAAAAAGAAGATGGGTATATACTTGCAAAAGGGTTGGAAATATTATAAAAGAACGCATACACACACACATACACACACAAACATACACTCACACATACATACATACACACACACACACATACATACATACATACACACACATACACCACACACAGGCCTTATATTCGGAATATTATGCACTTTTTTTATATGGTCACTAATCATCAACACTGAAAAAATATTACTGCTTCTTAGGCAAGAGCCGGAAGTAGCTAGGTAAATTATTTTATTTGTAATAATAATAATTATTATTATAAATAATAATAATAAATAATAATTATTATTATTATTTATTATTATTATTATTTTCGCAAATTCATCAAAACAGAATGGCTCAACTTTACATTGAATATTTTATGCCCGGAGCTTTGGTAAGCTAACTGTGATTACATTACAAATAACAATGATAATAATAATAATTATTAATATTCATACATATTATAATTATAATAATAATTATTATAATTATGGTAATTATGACAGGCATATTGTTGGATATTCACACTGATGCGATACCTACTGTGTCAAAACAGCGTCCTACCTAACCTCCTCATCTGCATGGCCAGTTGTGCCTTCAACGCTCTGCTACATTATCTGCTCGTTTACGTTGCCAGTCTAGGAATTAGGTGGAACTGAATGAATGAGTGAGTGAATGAATAAATAAATGGATGAATGAATGAATAAACGATTGAATGAACGACTGATTGACTAAATGAATGAATTTAATTTTTAAATTGATTGAAGAGGTTCAGCGATATCCTTAGCGCTGACTTACTACATCGTCCTCCTACTGCTCGTCTCCTACATCTACTTCAGCGGCATCTACCGAGAAACGTGGCCAGGTTGGCTCCCAACATCTTTTCTTTCGCTCTTAACTCATCATTTTTAGCAAACTCTGATCTAAAAAAAATTTCAACATTTGATGAACGTTGTTAAATAATGTAACGTCATTTTGTCCAAATTGTCCAAATGTAGGAACGAACGAACGAATGAATGAATGAATGAATAAATAAATGAATTAATAAATGAACGAATGAATGAATGTATAAAATGAACGAATAAAGGCTGGAGCCGCGAATGTCTTGAAAATTGGAGCGAGTTCGGTAAAGTGGCTGTCTCAAGCATCTTCATGACTTTCATCTTTTGGTTTTGCACTGAAGTCGGAACATTTTTAGCCGGTCATTATTATAATTTATTCATTTAATTATAATAACCCTATCATTTAATAATAATATTATTAATATTATTTTATTTATAATTATATTAAAATTCCATAATATTGAACAGGACTTTTGAGCGAACAGGACATAAGTGCCTTTTCAATTTGTTTTCAGGTCGAAGGTTTTGTCTGGATGGTTCGTGATTTTTATTATTGTTATTATTATTATTATCATCATCTTTATTATCATTGTTATTATTATTATTATTATTAAGATCCCACTGGGAATAGGAAGCGCGAGTACAGCGAGGATCGGTCAATATTTGGGAGCGAAAAAACCCATGGGAGCTATTACAACTTGTAGAGTTGCATTGACTGTTCAAGGTGATGATGACGACGACGACGATGCTGATGATAATGATGATAATAATGATGACAGTGGATAATGGTGTGTAACGCTTTGTTATTTTGTGTCATTGAAATGCCTGGCGCATTTTGAAATTATGTACATACGTTGTGCAGTTTTGTGAAACTAAGATAAAAACTGAAAAAAAGCGATCAAATGTTTAAAAAATGAATTTTTCTCAATATAAATAATTAGGAGGCGTGTCGGTGCTAATGGCGTCGGCTTGCTTTTTCCTCAGATACTACATCCCGATGGCTTTTACTCAAAATGAGTTGGTTGATTCACTCGTTTTTATTCAATCGTTTTTAAGGTCATCCACTGATTAATTAATTAATTCATTCATTCATTCATTCATTCATCTTCTATTTGTTCTTTCAGGGAGTTAATAGACTTCACTGGTCGCATTATGCCCATAGTATCAATATTTTTACTTCTCGAAGGTTTTGGAGTAAGTCATTTTTCGTAATGTTTAAAGAACATTTATTAATGACAATTGTAATTATTATAATTACTTACCAAAAAGGGCGTAGGAATAAGTATAGTACGAGGGACGGGCAGGCAGACATTAGGAGCTGTCATCATCTTCATCAGTTTCTACGTCTTCGCATTGCCAATTGGAATCCCGCTGATGTTCGTAACGAATCTTGGACTAGCTGGTGAAGATTTTATTTTGTAATTATGTTGTGAACAACTAAAAAAAATCAATATAAGTTTTATAATATGATTTTGTCGGTGCCTATCTTTTAGTTTTATAAAAATTTGATTCAAGGATCGTATGAAAACAGTGGGTTTATGTTTAAAATTGTAAAGGTTTATGGTGGGGCTACGTCATCGGCATTGGAGTTCAAAATATCTGCCTGTTTGCATTCGTCGCCAGGATGAATTGGCAGAAAGAGACTGACCAGGTACATTTCTGAGAAGAAATGTATTCACTTATCTACTGATTTCACATTGAATAACCATTCTAATCGAATAATTTTCATCTAATTAATATTTAAACAAAAAAAATTGAAGGCTCAAATTAGAGCAGGGGTGTACGAGGATGTCCATTCAGTCAGGCCATCAGCATCGAATAATCGTGAAGATGGCGATGACGATCTTATAAACCCCGCTAACGATGAACAAGGTTGATATTTATTTATCCTAACCACTAATTGAGACACCGAACGATGTAGGTATGTACATACACCCAGGTATGTACACACAATTCTTGCTTCTCCTTCAATACAGACAACATTCGAATCAGATCAGCTCGCAATGACACAGCGAGAGACATGACGCTCCTAACGGTCGGAGTTAATTCGTCAACCTAAATTGTCCTTAATATCAAATGCCTGTTTAAATTTAAATTAATTTAACGAAAGCTCCGACAGGTCGAGAGACAGATAGTTACAATTGTGAGGAGGACTTGGAACTACTGTCTCTAAAGCCTTCCGTGGCCAAACTTCTGCTCATTCGTCTTCCGATTTTTACATTTTTCATTTTAATTCTGGCCTTAGGTTTTTGTGTGTACTTTTTTGTACCTAACAGTGAGAATTGCATACATGCCAACATAATTAATACTTCGGACGTTTACTCATTAAATAATTCTAAAGAAGTTTATTTCATGAAAGGTACCTTACAATTAAGCAATAACCGCTCAGTGCCTTGGTGTAATGATACGATATACAATCATTCTTCTTCATTATATTATCATTCTCCTTATTTCAGATTGTGATTTTTATATAAGTTTTTTTATGAAAACTTCATTTTGAAGCATGGTTTGTATCATGTTTTTTAACTGTATCAATTGAATTTTTAAGCTTTTTAGGTGTTATTTTATATGTTCAGTCATTCAAAGTCATATACTTATAATACTTCAAAGTCATTTTAAAATGTTTTTCTATCTGGAAGTTTTATTAAAAAACATGAACAAAAGTTTTTGACTCAATTTTTGTGTACTTTTGATGCAAAAGGACTAAGAACATACAATCTATTTTTGAAAAATGTGGCCCAACAGCTGATAAGAATTTACTTGGCGAAAACCTATTGGCCATTTAATATAATTTAAAATAGCTTAGAGATTTCTTTACAATTTTTATTTTATCCAACCTGAAACTTTACCCTAACTTTAATTAAGTAAATTAACTTAATAATCAAATCATATATAAACAAATGGAGCATTTAATTGAAGAATTATATTTCCTGCGCAATAAAGTAGCGATGAGTTTTAATTGGGATTTACACACGTTGACGACACGGTTGCGAACTAAAAGTGAATTTAATTTGAAATTTTTGTAATGGCGGTCGTTATGAAGTCTGCAAACAATTTTCACTTTATTTTCATTTTCATCTGCGCTTTCATTTCTTTTTCTCTTCAGGATAATGGTGGGCAATTAATTTTTTTAAATTTTGATTGTTTTCACTTTTTTAAATTTTGTCAAATTACAAATTCATAAATTGTTTATATCAAAAAAATGAAAATTTAAAATTTAAATTATAATAAAAGTGAAAATGAATTTAGATGTTTATCACTGTTTGTATTTTGAAATGGCGAATGTTTAAATTTATTTGAACAGATGACATTAAAGTGGAGAATAATATATATATCTTGAACAAAGATGTTTTTGATAGGTTTTTGTTCTCACATGAAACTGTACTTGTTGAATTTTATGCACCATGGTTAGTTATATTTACTATATTACTTGAAAATTAGCATGCTATTAAATTAAAAATTTGTCATTAATTTTATCACAAGGTGTGGACATTGCAAGAAACTAGCCCCTGAGTTAGAATCAGCGGCAGATGTGCTGTCAGTATCGAGTCCTAACATTAAGATTGCCAAGGTGGACGCTACTGTTGAGACTGGACTGGCTGATAGGTCCTTCAATCACTTTTTCATTTATTTTTTTTCTTCATTAATTATCAATATGAACACTTGGTTTTGATAATTCAGAGATTATATATGATATTATTATTTTTACACAAAATATGATGATTAGTGTTATAAGAAGCTAATGAATAAAATATTTGGTGTGCAGATTTGAGATAAATAGTTACCCAACGTTGTTTGTGTTCAAGAAAGGTGTCAAACTTGAGTATGAGGGGCCCAGAGAATCAGAAGGCAAGTCATTTATTTTTTCAGATTTTGTTTAAATAATTCTATTTCAATGTTGAAAAAGAGCTTAAATCGGTAATTTATGTAACAAATTCCAAGTCGTAAAATATTTGTTAATTTTTTTTCAAATTTGAAATTTTCAGGAATAGTTGAGGAGATGAAGCGCATTGGAAGTGAAGATTATGAGATTCCAAAAAACTCGAGTATTGAACTGACGGCTGCCAACTTCACAGATGTGACAAATGCACAGGAACTCATGGTCGTCATGTTCTATGCTCCATGGTAGGCCTGCCTTCACTCTCTCTCTCCTTTCTCATTTTCTTTCTCTCATTTGATTTTTTATCTCTTTTCTTTATCACTTTCCTCTTTTAACTGTTATTTATTATAACATTTTAAATAATTTTTATAAAATATAGTTGTAAATTATGATGAATATATAATGTAATAAGTGAATGAATGAATGAACGAACAAATGAATGAATGTATAACAATGATGGAGATTATTATTATTATTTCTAAAATAATGATGATGAAGAATATAATGATTAAAATAATGATGAAAAAGATGATAACTAATCACCAACTGGTTGTGAAAAATAAATAAAATCGTAAACGAAAAATGCCAGGTGTGGCCACTGCAAAAAGTTGAAACCTGAATATGAGAAGGCAGCAAAAGAACTGGCCAAGAGAAAGCCTCCAATCTTGATGGGCATGGTGGATGCCACAGTTGAGAAGGACTTGGCTGAATTGTACGAGGTCCAGGGATATCCAACTCTCAAGTTTTTCAGGAGAGGAAAGGCTCACACTTTCAAATCTGACGCCAGAGATAAGTTTGGTTGGTTGGTTTGCTGTTTTTTGATTCCATTTTTGTTTGTTGTTGGTTTACCTTTGTTGTTTAGTTGATGTTGTCTCATTTAAGATAATTGTTTGTTGTGGCAGGATTGATAAGTTACATAGAAAAGCATCTAGGACCAGCTTCAACAAATGTTCCAACATTGAAGGAGTTGAAGGCAATCATCAATCCGCTACCATCTTCACGTTCATCGGTCGCTGACATCTCACCATTTAACATCGTTGCTTTCTTCAAGGATGACTCATCCAAGTTATTCAGTCTCTACTTAGATGCTGGTTAGTTGATTGGTTGACTGAGTGATTGATCGGTTGTTGGCCTATTTATTGATTGATCTGTAATCGTGGCATAATTATCCTCCAGCCAATGAAATGCGAGATGACTACTCTTTCCGACACACATTCGACCAATCGTCAGCCAGCAATTGGAACATGCAGGCTGATTCATTGGGCATCTTCTTCATTGAACGGCTGCATACAAAATATGAGGAGAAGATTAAGAAGATGAAGTTTGATGCAAGTTTTGTTGGTGTTGTTTGTGCTGTTTGACTTGCTTATTATAAAATTATTGTGATTGATTAATTGAATGACCAGGGAATAAATAGATGAATGATCAAATGAAGGAATGAATGAATGAATAAATGAAAACCATCATCAAACCATCACTGCAGGATGATTCAACAGTTGAAAGCATTAAAAACTTCATAGCAAATAACAAAGTGCCATTAATAGGAGAGTTTAACCAGAAAACGAATGATCTGATGTACAAGGAGACCAGACCGTTGGTCATATTCTTCTACACTGTGGATTGGTCATTCGAGCATAAGGAAGGTGCAAATCTGAGTTCTGATTGGCTGCTATTTGCTGTGATATTTGTTGTAGTTGCTACTTTATTGGTGGTTTCATTATAGAAATCAATGTGAATGGTTATAATTAAAGTTATTGACATACGCGCCCTCATGGTAGTTACTTTTATTTTTAATGTTTTAATCATCACACACACGCACAAACACTACAGCCACACAGATGTGGAGGCAAAGATTTGCAGAAGTAGCCAAGGTGCACAGGGATATGACGTTTGTGGTGGCAGATGATGAACAAAACAGGGAGGTTTTCCATGATTTTGGATTCGATGATTCTGGTTGGTGGGTGGTGAGTTGAATGATTGATTAATTAGTCTGTAACTGTTATTGAAGAAGCTGAATGAGAGCATGATTTGTTGATAATTCTGTTTTGTTGAAATATGTCATTGAAGCTGAATATGCTACATAAACTGAAGTTAGCTTAATATCACGTACATACATTAGCATTCAGTTACATACACGGCAACAACAGCTTGATAATCAAGAACAACATCTCACCAGGTGAAGAGATCAACGTTGGAATAATATCGAAAGACAACAGAAGGTACCCGATGGAACCCATGGAAGAATACGACGAACAAGATGTACACGATTTCATCAAGAAGTTCAAGAAGGGTTCCTTGAAACCACTCGTGAAATCTCAGGCTATCCCGACCAAACAAGCAGGCCCTGTAACTGTCGTCGTTGGCAAAACCTTTGAAAAGATTGTGCTGGACGATAAAAAAGATGTTCTCATCGAAATGTACGCTCCCTGGTGTGGTCACTGCAAGCAGTTGGAACCAATCTACAAAGAACTTGCAAAGAAGTTGAAACCAGTGAAGAATTTGCTGATTGCCAAGATGGACGCCACGGCCAACGATGCTCCACCAAATTTTCCCGTCTCCGGATTTCCGACTATTTACTTCGCTCCCACTGAGAATAAGGAGAATCCTGTAAAATACGAAGGTGAAAGGAATGTGGAAGGTTTCATAAAGTTCCTGAAGGAGCAGGGTGTGTCCATTGGTGGTAGGGAGGAGTTGTGAATGGGGTTGTTTTGTGGATGTGCTCGCTAGGGTTGGCTGATTTATCAACTTGTTCCTTGTTTTATGTCTGTCTGTTTTCATGATTGGAATGAAGCAAAATGTTTGTGTGCTGCTGTGTGTATATTAATGAAGAGTTAATTTCTTGTTTTTATAAAATTTTTAAATGTTGAATGTTTGTTATGCTACAGCTAACGATTAGTTTTTATTTCATGTTTTTTTTTTGTTTTATTGTTATGTTTGTAATTTGTATGTGCACTCTGAAATCTTAATCACAATTTTAGCTGTGTCTCTCACTTTTTCATTTTGAATTCAATTATAAAATTGTTGATCTTTGAAAGTTTCAGTTATAAATTTATCAGCAAACTATTTATTGCTTCAAAAGCAACATACTTTCGTTATTGATAATACCTTACTGCTTTAAACTTCTAATTCTTTTTTTAAATATTTAAATATTTCAATGTAATAATAATAATGACAATCAGTACTGTCATTGTTGTTTTTGTTATTGCCACTGTCATTTTGGTTGAAGAGATGTCGCCGAAACAAGATCTGATTTCATTTTTTACATATCGTATACATATATAGGTATTTTTAAAATAAGTTTACATTGTATAAGGCTAAATGTCTCATTATCACCTTACTTAATATTTTTAAATGTTTTTATCGTTTGTTGAATAAGATTCCTCTATTGGAGAATTGGAATTCTCAGTTTAAAAGTCTAAGAAACGATCTTTATTTAGTCTTTTTGATAATATTAAGGTGACGTAATCAAATGATTAAACATTTCATAACACACATAAGGGTCTCAAACTGTAATTTATTTATTTATTTTTAAAATAACATTCTCCAATAAAAATAATCTTCCTGAAGAAAAAATTTGTAGTTAGTAGTGAAAAAGTAAAATAGATACGGCACAATGAATGAAACTCTGGTTAGATCTTTTGATGCATTCGATTAAATATTTGATTTTTTATTTTACCGACTATTTTGTTAGTCTTATGTTAGTCCGCGCGATCTTATGCAGTGATTGACATTTCTTGATAAATTTTGATGACAAGGTGTACAAATACGAGGGCGAGTATAATGTAAGTGGCTTGAGACATGGTAAAGGTAAGGCTAGATACTGCAACGGTGATTGCTATGAAGGTGACTACTTGAATGGAAAGAGACACGGCCAAGGAGTTTACACGTTAGTACCTTTTGTTTCTGTTTTTCTGCAAATTATTCACGTAAGCCGTAGTTATTATTATTATTATGTTATTCACTCTATTGACATTCCTCAGTGATTAAATGCTTTGTTGAACAAATAACTTTTTTACTCTTTTGAGATCTTTTTCTGGAATAATTGAATAATTTGCTTCGATCTTGTTGGAAGATCATTCCATGCCTTGGGCAGAGCAACCTGCATATATCTGTCACCCAATTAATAACTTTCTGTCGTGATTGTTTTATTTGTTCTTACGATTCTATTCATTTATCCTCGTGAAAGGTTCGCTCAAGGAGGTGTGTATCAAGGCAGTTGGAAGGATGGCAAGAAACATGGATTCGGAAAGTTCTGTTACCGAGACGGCACAAACTACGAAGGTGAAATAAAAAAGTTTGCTATCACTTAGAACTCTATTTTATCAATTAAATTTTCACTAATAGGCGAAATTGACAAATAATAATTTCCAAAGGTCATTTTTGTGAGGATGTGAGGCAAGGTTGGGGTAGGTACTGCTACAACAATGGCGATGTTTATGAAGGAAACTGGATGAATCAGAAAAGACACGGGCATGGCGTGTACGTCTACAAGTGTGCCAAGTTGAAATATGAAGGCATATGGAAGGAAGGATACAGAACATCCGAGGGTGTCATCACTTACTTTGACGGCTCTGAAATAGCCTCGTCCAAACCGGTTAGAATCAGTTGTATAATTTGTTACATTGAAAATAGGATTATATATCCTTTTAAGATTTACTATTGTTTTATGATCATTGACAGTTTTTTAAATACTTTTTGACAGCCTGTGGGAGCGGGTGAGTCGTTTAAATTATAGTTTACATGAAAGTTGTCAAACGGCAAATCAAAAAACATTGAATTTATTATTACTTTCTGCAGATGATGAACCAACGAAAGATGTGGTCGTCCAGGTGCCGCTGAAGGATGAAGATGCAAAAGTTAGTGATAAATGCGCGCCGCCCGCTGCTGTCGTAGTCGAAACTCAACCGTGTTCAAATCAGGATCAAAGTGATGACTACAAATTGAAACCAGAAGATAACGTACCAAAATGCATTGAAGAAACCGTAAAACCAGTTGAAGATTTTAAATGTGGAACGCCCACGGCTGAAGTGAAGCAAGTTGAAGAATTTAAATGTGGAACATCTTTGGCTGAAGTAAAACCAACTGAAAATTTAAAGCGTGAAACATCGTTGACTGAGGCGAAACCGGCTGAAGATTTCAAATGTGAAACATCGTTGACTGAAGTGAAGCAAACTCAACAAGTTGCCGACGAATTGCCAAAAAGTGAGACAGGAAGTTGTTGCACGACAAATTTTCAATGCGGAACATCTATCGCCAGTGTACTTGATACAACGACAGGCCAAGTACCTGCTCAGCAAGAATGTGGACTTTGGCCGGAGAAGACGGAAAGTAACGTTGCTAACGATTTTAAATGTGGCACATCTCTGCACGAGGCTAAAACAGCAGAGCAGAAAATTTCATATCAATGTGGTTTGTGGCCAGCACAGACGGCTAGTTGTTTAGTGCCAGAAGCAAATCAACCTGATTTCAAATGTGGTGTGTCACTGACTGAAGTTCCAAAAGTTTCTGGCTTTGCTGATGCCAAAGAAAAAGATACATCCGGTGTTCCTAAGAAAGAATCAGAATTCAGGTGCTCTTCATCCACCGTCGTTAAAACTGCAGTACAAGAGCCCACTGAATTTAAATGTGGCTCTTCTTTAACAAACGTCGCAAATAAACAACCCCCAGAACCTGCGTCCAATACAGATGCATGCGCCACACAAGAGCAACAAGTTGTACAAAGTAGTTGCAAAAAACAAAATATTGTTACACTAGTCCTTATGAATGATGGTCCCGGCGGCAAGCCAATTCCAATAAGATGCGACCCATGCGAGCAAGAAATCGATAAAATGACAGTTTTCGTAAAAATTGATTGCGAAAAAAGATGTGAATCGTCAATTTCACCGCAGGTGACAGATACGAAGGCCAGTGTGCCCTGCCTTGATGATAATCAAAAGAAGGAAATAAAACAATCTCTGAACAAACAAGAAGAATCGCCTTCAACAAATGAGCCCGCGGTTCCACATTACACAAAAAAATCTTCTGTCATGCCGGAAACTTTTGAAACTACATTACAGGATCAAATCAAGTTATCAACGCAGGCCGAAACTGGCGAGCTTTCGACTCAACAGACTAAAAAGTCTACACCCTCAACTGCAGTTAGACAGTCTGCTGAAGGTTGTCCTACTAACCCATCAGCTCCTTCTGAAGAGAAACCGTCCGTGGCAGCTGTTTCTCAAGGCAAGTCGTCTATAGCTGCTGCCTCTGAAGGCAAACCATCTGTGACAGCTGTTTCTCAAGACAAACCGTCTGTAGCTGCTGCCTCTGAAGGCAAACCATCTGTGGCAGCTGTTTCCCAAGACAAGCCGTCTGTAGCTGCTGCCTCTGAAGGCAAACCATCTGTGGCAGCTGTATCTCAAGGCAAGCCGTCTGTAGCTGCTGCCTCTGAAAGCAAACCATCAGTGGTAGCTGTTTCTCAGGGCAAGACGTCAATAGGAGCTGTGTCTCAAGGACAGCAATCTGTGGCAGTTGCCTCTCAGGGAAAACCCTCTGTAACGGCTGCTTCTCAAGGAAAACCCTCTGTAGGTGCTGCTACTCAAGAACGACAGTCCGTAGAAGCTGCTTCTCAAGAACAGCAGTTAGTTGCAGTTGTCGATCAGGAAAAACCTTCTGTAACGGCTGTTTCTCAAGGAAAACCCTCTGTAGGAGCTGTTTCTCAAGGACAACAATCCATAGAAGCTGCTTCTCAAGGGCAACAGTCCATGACAGCTGAAGCTCAAGAAGATGCCCCAGTAACTGAGGCTGCTGCAACCGCTTCACCTAAACAGTCAGAAGGAACTGGCTCGGCAAAGCAATCAAAAACTGGTTCTGATGCATCTAAACATTCTCAGGCAGGTGATCCTGCTATTAATGAATCTAGACAGTCTGATGGAGCTGCTGCAACAAAACAATCCACCGCTACTTCAGCTAAACAATCTGTTCCAGTTGCATCAGCCAAGCAATCTGCGGCAGGTGCTTCTGTGGCTCAGCAGTCAACCCAAGAAGGAACTACTGCTGCTAATGAAACTGCTGGTGAAGCAGCTGATGGTGGTGCAGCAGCAACTGGTAGCATGGCTGAGGAAGCAGCCGTTATCAGTGAAGATGCAGCCGGTGCTGGTGAAACTGCTGCTGCTGCTACTGGTTCGAAGAATGTTTCGCAGATTGAAGCCGAAAAAAAGTCTATGCCTGAAAATGCGTAGTCACGAAAAAAATGAAGGCTATATTTTGAGATTTATTGAAAATGTCGTTGCAAGCATGCTGTGATAATTTTCACTTTTGAACATCAGTCGAAGATATCCACTTTAAATAATGGCAAATAAATTTATTGGACAAATGAAAACAGGCGAATACATAAGCGACAACATCAGAAACAACATCAAAACGAACGCGAAAATTTTTAATTAATTTTTTTTGTATTAACACCTGTGATAGATAAGATGCAAGTTTACTTCCACGCAAATACGTATATATACATTCTGAACAATTTAATAATAAATTTAAGTTTTAAAATTTTTTTAGAATCAGTTTAACATCGCACACATCAATTTATTTTATATGCATTTATATTAGTAAAAATGGAATAAACGTGACGAACAAACAAACTTTACGTAGACTTATTTTCATTTTTAACATTACGTAGCGAGTATTAAAGCAACGAATAAATATCACAACATGTTGGTGGATTGGTTGAACACGAGGCGAAGCGTTCACATTATATAAATTAAATGTACCAATAACTAATGTTGATATATTTAGCTATGCAAGCACATATGTTGTGTACCGACAATAATAATTATTGTGTTTAAAAATCTTAACTCGAAATTAATGAATATCATTCTTCATGAATTTAGCTACAGGAAAATTGAAAATAATTTTTATTATTTATATCGCAGGAGAGTTCAGTTCCGAACACAACTCGAGACGATGTAACCAGCCAGGAATTGGAGTTCTCTGAGAACGATGCTCTGGTCGAATTGGATCAAGATAGGAAGTTCGATGAAGATGCAACAGAGGAAATCTTACAGGGAGAATTAGATGATGAAAATACGGTGAACGAAGAAGTAACATCGGACAAAAATCAAATGAGTGATGATGGCAACAAGGATGAATCAACAAATGAGAGAAATAATCATACATTTGATGACGACAACAAACCCACTCAACAAGATCGAGATGAAGTGCGCCGGTCAAACGCCGAAGAAGGCAATGTTCCTACCGCTAACCCTAACCCTACCGCTAAATCTTCTGGAAAAACATCTTCAATTAAACATGCTGGCAGTAAAATTTTGCCACCAAATAAATTATCTATGAAAAAAAAATCTTCGACCAAAATGCCAACAGAGTTTGGTTCTATTTTAAAAGAATCCCAACGATCGAATAATGCAGAAACCGTCGGAGAGGCTGTCGAATTGAATGCCAACAAGAAATTTCAGCAGGATAATGTGGATGCCGCTGTTGTGGGAAATGACAAATTTTAAATAATGAGGAGGCGGAGAAGGAGGAAGTAATGGATGAGACGACGATGACCTAGTTGATGATGTCATGAATTGCTGCTAATGGAGATCGAAATATTGAAGAATTGTTTTCACTGTTTACTTTTTGTCGTTTTGTTTCTTTCCAATTGTTTGTTGTTGTTGTCGTGTTTCGGTAGAGTTAAGCTTTTATATATAGCGTTAAGAAAAAGTTATTACTTATTATTATCATTAGAGAGGATGTAATTCATATTTTGAAGTTATCTAATAGTGGCCGCATGTAACGAATTTTATTCGTCAAATACTATGCTGGCTCGTTGTACAGTTCTTCGTTGTCGAGTCTGGTAAAAGTGTTGGAGCGTTTCAGCGGTTGAGATTCGTCAGTCGGTACATCATCGACGGTCGCTATGGTTGTTTTATCATTTTCATCAGAAGGTTGGTAGTTTTCTTTTATCGGTACGTTGTTGGAATTCGGACTGTCCTCGTTGCTGTTGTTGCTCGTGGAGATGTTTGGGTTGCTGTCAGTCACCGTAAGAGATGCGACCGCTTCAGAGGTTTGTTTCAGCTTTTTCAGATCCTTCGTGTTTGACGTTGATAATGCTTTTGAACTTCTTGCACTGGGTATGGGCTGAAAATGTAAAAGTAAATATGTTTATACAATATTTTACAACAGGTGATGTAAACCAGTAAATAAACTTGAGAGAATAGGCAGAAGGAAACCTGTTTGGATGGTGATTTAACGGGACTGGGACTCTTATCGTTTGAATTAGTGGCGGGTCCCTTGAAAGCTGTGGATGGTCTTTGAGGGGTCTTCGTAGCATGAGAGGAAATGTTCGTTGGCTTCGCGGGACATGATTTTGCTGAAGCTGTGATAATCGTGAACAAATGAAATATTCATCATATAGGCCTAACCGATGTTTGTGGAAAAATTTATATTGTAAAATATTAATCGTTTTATTTTAGTCGATCAATTTAGTTTAACAACTTATTTAATGGTATGATGAATCAATGATATAACCTGGTCTTTGTGGCGTAGTCTCCTTAACATTCGAAACAGCGCTCAGGTTAGATGTATGTTGTACAGATGTAACGTTTCCATTACTGTTACTTCCACTCAATTTCGCAGTTGACTTTTCACTCGTGGAGGTCACTAATTGATTGACGTCTAGGGGAGGTACCTTTATATTTTTAATCTTTTTTTCTGGAGGCCACTGATGTCTTATGCAGGAAAGTCTGAAGTGATGGATGTCGAACGGGGATTGGATGATGAACGTGCTGTTGAGTCCGTGTGGCCAGAGGGAGTCATGTTTCAGGATCAAATCGTTCTCCACTATCTGCATTATGTCCGGTCTTTTATCTGATATTTCGAAAATATTTAGGGAATGAATTGTTAGTAATTTATTTTTTGAGATATCCTCAACATGTATTTAACAATTGAATGCTAGTTTAATAAATTAGCTGACCAGGCGTGTTGATGAAGTAGAAGTCCCAATCATTGACCAGACTAACAACCAGCAACGAACCGATAGCCGAATGTGCAGATCCGTCGAATGCTGTCTTGAAGAACTCCGCGCACTGTCCAAACACGCTCTGGTCGCATTTCTGCACTATTTGGAAACATGATTTCTCCCTGTGTTTCAAGACGTACATGCCACTTTTTTCAATATTTTTATTTATAGAATCATCGTTGTCATGGCAACCGTCGTTATGCCTAGACAGCCAGTCACGTGTCTTAGCAACGAGGATCTCGAGTAACATAGCGGGCTTGATTTTACCGACCGACAGACCGGATTTTTGTTCGCCCCACCACCCGCTCTTCAGGCGAACGTCGATGGAATCAACTCGTCTGCACTGCAGGATCTGCTTGTAACAAGTCGAAATCTCGTCGAATCTTCCTCTGTCGCTTGCGTCAAATTCGTCGTCGCGCAGATTTAAGGTCTGCACTGCGCTCATAAGTGACGTCACTTCCTTACTGCAGCAGGATGTGTCGTCACGGTTGCCGTCGATGACGTACTTGCGGAATTTGAAGTAGTCCATGGTCTTGAAGGTCACCTTCGAGGTCGATGACATCTCGAAAGATGAAGAGAAGGAATGAGAGGAAGACCCAGAGGAAAACCAACTGATAGGCAATGAAGAAGTTGATGACGACGATAATGATGGCGGTGCTGGTGATGACGAGCTGGTGAAAGTTTAAACGAATTCCTTTTCTTTCTCTCTCTCTCTCTCTCTCTCTCTCTCTCTCTCTCTCTCTCTCTCGTTTATTGATGTTAATTGATTTAATTATACGGGTGGTGGGTTGTTTGTTTTGTTGTCTCCATAAATCTTAACGTTGTTGTTAATAATTGCACTGCAATATTGCCTCTCGTTAGTGACGGGCTGTTGTTCTTGTCATTATACGTTAAATTTTGTTAGGTTGCATTTGACGTACAATCATTTGTATCCATGTTCCTGACGTGTATTATGCTAAATAAATAATAAAAAAGATGGAAAAATGGAGTTTTTGTCGTTGAGGTGATGATATTTATCATTCGCGTTAGTGTTGGATTGATAATCTTTTTGTTGTTAATGCTGTTGTTGTTAATGTTGTTGTTGTTGCTTTTAATGTTGTTGTTGCTGGAATGAATAAATTAACCGGATGATCGTGCACGAAAGATCCTGGAAAAATATAATTGAAATCATGCAAAGTAATTGAAAAGATAAAAAATGATTACCAACAAACACACTACGTACGTTCACATACATGCATACATACATACAACAATACATACTTTCCAACATGAAACTGAGTATTAAGGTTCTGTTTTTATCCTTATTTCGAAATATTGTAACCAGAGGCCTTTATATTGAAACGCAGACAAATAGCGTTGTGTATGTATGTATGTTATATAGATGTATGTAATGAGACGACCTTACAATAAAAACATATTGTTTTTCATCGAGAGGAAACGAAAATAAAGCTGTATGTGTGAGAGAGAGAGAGAGAGAGATAGAGAGAGAGAGGAAATAGAGAGAAAGATTGAAGATAAGATGATAATTGCCATGGTGATTTGACTTGAAACTTCGAGAAGAAATTAATTTTAGCATGGACACACACACACAGGCACGTTACAATAAACTTATGAATTCTGTAAAGAAGAAATAGGTTTCCAGAATAAAAAAATTTGCATTGTTAAATTAAAACGACAGAAGATTCTGTCAAAGTTAGCATCAAAATCAGACAAAACAACCACAACTACAACAACCACAACAACATCAACCACAACTACACCAGCCACAACAACATCAACCACAACAACACCAGCCACAACAACATCAACCAAAACAACACCAACTAACTGTCTCTTATTTATTTTTAGATTCGCTTAACGTCCATAACATTAATTATATATATAATATAAATTGATGATATAAATATTATAAGTAAATTATGACAAACTTAAAATGAATTTACATTAATATCCTACCAATGTAATCATATTTTCTTAATTTATTTTCACGAAAACACACAAATTACAGTAGTTATCGTTAAATTTAATACTAAATTATTAATTCTTCATGTGTAAATTTTATCCTTGTCTATAATTTTTTTTATAATGTTACAATGCGCGTCTGAAAATTATGAACGGGCTGTTACACTGAAACAACGTGTGGAGTATATATTTTATGTGTGTGTATGTACAAGTACATATATGTGTATATACAAATATACACTATATATATATATATATATGTGTGTGTGTGTGTGTGTGTGTATTTATGTAAAAAAGTTTATTATTTTTAGGTTTGCTAAGTGTGATGCTACGAAATATGACGTTGGTGGGATGTTTATTTACAAACTTAACACGACTACATATCAATTGTATATGGAAATTTTTTACACCACAGTCTTCTCAATTTAATTTCATTGCTATATCAGGATCTAAAAACACTTTGTGGATTACACTCACACACACACACAGACACACACACACATATATACTACACAACTCTATTGTGAGTCAATAGAGAAGCAAAAAAATACACACATACATTCATTCATACATACATACATACATGCATGCATACATACATACATACATACATGCATGCATACATACATACATACATACATTTACTGACACAGGGCAACTAATGCTTATTCATACGAAAAAAATCAATACAAACGTACGAAGAGGCTTGTTGTTCTTCTGCTTCGTTTACAGCTGCTGAAATAAAAACATCACTCTGTAAGTTGGGGCTATTATATATTTATATATAACGTATATATATATATATATATATATATATATATATATATATATATATATGACTACGTACACCTGTTCGTACGATTTAATCCTACGAGGCAGAAGAAAAGATAGAAAACCAATATTGTCGACTAAATAGTACAAATCTGTAAATTCATACATTGCTATTCTTAACTTAGGAAAGAATTCTATGGCACCTCCTGTGCAAATGAAAGAACCAAGCAAAATAGTTTTATATTTTTAATAGAAATCAAAAATAATGAATCATTTTGAAATAAAGTCAAGTCTTAGTGTAGCTTTTAAAGAGTTTCATAAGAAGATTTATCTTCGAAACAGCAACAACTCGATATAGTTTAATTTAACGCAATTCACTTACATTCATTCATATATCGAAAATTATAAAAATTGTAAATTTTGAGAATGTTTCAGTCAGCCTAGACACTCGTTAAGTTTGATCAAAGTCAACTTTTCAAACATGTCGTCAGATAGTTTATTCCTGTCACGATGTCTCAACGAATACAGCACCACTGAGCAACTTTTCAACGATGGAATGGAAGTAGGGTACCTCACAAAACCTTTCTTGATTGGGCTGTAGGTGTCTAGCTGCTTCACGCTGTTGTCCGCGTCTGACAGGTACGACTCACCCGGACGGCACGTATTTATTAATCCAAATTCATAAACTTATATGATGTGAAATTTTGGACAAGCTTCACACCTGGCAACGATCTTGTTCTCGAACTCTCTGACCACTGTAAAGAATCTTCCGTCCATTAGAGCCGCCAATCTTCTCCCCTCAGACATTTCTTCGACGGACCCACACACGACAAGCACTACAACTACATTACACACACACACCACTCATTCTTACATTCATTCACCGTGCCTCCGGGTTCAATGTACATGAGAGCACAAGATATATATCGTGCTCTTTAGATATATAACATGCTACTGCATCTACATGTGTATAAGCTTAGATGCGTGAACACATGATATATCTGTGCAATATAAATGGTTTTTTTTCTGATGTCGAACTTGAAAAGGAATTCAAAACTTGCATTGAAAATCAAAGTTATTTTTTTTAATTTTAACAAAACGGAAAATGATTTTAAAGAAATTTGATCCCATCTTGAACACAACATTTCAAGTAGGAACGTATTTTGGAGTGATTTCTAATACAAAATTACAAATTAAACTATTTAACTTAGAATGAATTTTATAATTTGGAATGGATTAGACAAAAATTATTGAAGCAGGTGCTTTGATAGGTTCAGTATCATCAACAGCCGTGTAGAATTTGTGCCGTATCACAAACATTGTTTGAAGCAAATATTTCAAATGAAAGAAAAGCGAAGAGGTACGAAAAAAACACAAGAACACAAACAAACCATTGCTTTGAATCAATACTTCTATAAATAATAAACTTCTCACATATGATATTCATAATAACATTGATGAATGTGATGATGAAAATTATAAACACCATCAATTCTTTTCTATTTCTTCTTCATCTTCCCGCTCTAAGTTTCATTGAAATCAATGACTTCGAGTTTATCCTGTAATGTTTACATTTGTAAAATTAGCAGCATTATCATCATAATCACCATTACAATCACGGCTCACCACAAAACCAGTTGTGGTAGAAACTGATTAAGATAAGTGAAGAACAAAAATGGCTGTCTGGCTATCCACACTTCTTGCAACTTATTCACGATGGCCACCAACATTAATTCAGCACATCTTGATGACGTCATCTTCTTTACCGACTTCTCGTTGGACGGCTGGTAACGATAACGTTAAAGTGATGGTGATAAAGCCGAATATGACGATGGTAAAACGATTCATTGAGATGACACGATGATGATGAAAATTGTGGCAAAATATGAAGAATTAATTAATTATCCAGCACATCATAATCATTAGAATATTCATTTTTCATCATCATCACCAAGGTGTAATTTCGCCTTCAACAACAATATTGATATTATCACCACCCTGATAAAACTGACTTTAAAAGAATTACTGATGCAATTATCTTCACATTTTGTATCAATGGGACCAGGACAGACGATGGTGACATCTATGTTGTGCTGTTTCATTTCGCAATACAAAGACTCATGCCATCCCTGTTCGAGTTTTTTAAAAGGTGATTAAGAATATGATATTAGGGATGACCGAAATGGACAAAAATAAAAAGAACATAATCAATGATTTAACAATTTTGATGATTGTAATGATGCAGCAATGACAATGAAGATTATAAAAAAAAGATTATAAATATGATCAGCATACATTGATAGCCCATTTGGACAAACAATAACTTGCGGAGTATGGAAGACCTATGAACCAAAAATTAATCTAATTATCATTCACAATCATCTCTTAAATGAAAACAATACTATATAAAAAATATCACAAAAACCAACCAAATTTGCCAGCCAGGCTACTGGTTACAACAATGTGGCCACTCTTCCTTTTAATCATGTCAGGCAGAACACATTTGACAAGTGAGATGGGTGATAAGACATTCAAATCAATCAATTCCTTATCAACAGAGATGTCTGTGTCTATTATAAATTCTCTCTGGGATCTCCCAGCATTGTTTATTAAGATGTCAATCTGAAATTTAATTTCTGGCTAATTAGTTTATTTGAAATAAACACATGAGCCGCAAGGTTTATTTTTACAGTTAGTAATAAAGTATTATAGTTAAACAATGTATTGTTTACAGACTTGATTAAATTTTTTCAACACAATTTGCATGGCCTCCTTATGATAACCAACATTTTTCACATCAAATGGAAGAACTAAGATGTCATCCTCAGTCAGTCGGCCAGTAGCTACAGAACAATATAGTATAGTATAGTGGTATTGCAGTTTTCAACATAAATTTTAATAAGTGAAAAATTCTGATTAGTTGAATTGAAATATAGTAAATTTAGTTTAATAAATTTTTTAGACTTTTAGAGAAAGTTTTTTTGGTATTAAATTAAGTATTAGTTATTTTTTTCTGCTCAATTTTTAAATTTAATTTAAAATTTTAAACTTACTTAGACACCTTTTCTTCACTTCATCAAGTGCAGCTTTATTTCTAGCAGAAAGAACCAACTTGCAGTTGGCTCTTGCCAGTTCGTAGGACAAGTATTCTCCAATTCCGGAAGAGGCTCCAGTAACCCAGCAAACTCTGCCTTTTAATTTGTCAATTCTGTTTCCAAACCTCTCTTTCCACATCAACTTCAAATCTCCGTCAGCAAATATTAATCTTATAATCTGGAGAGCCAGATATAGCAGTAAGATGTATATGGAGCAAATCAATAAGGCCATTGATTGATTGAAAGTGTTATCAGGTTATCACTTTTCTTCTCCTAATCAAGAAGTTGGCGCGGCCATAAATTATTTAGCACACACCACACACACACATTTTTATATTAATTGGGAATTCCGAAGTTCAATCAACACTCATGGCAGGTCATTTAGACAACTAAAACTTTCAGATATAAAACCATGGATAAAACATTGCAAATACGGATTTAACAATGTAACGTAAAAAAGTGACACACGCGGTGACAGATTTAAAAGTTTTGTTACTTGTTAAAAAATATCAATCAATCAATCAATCAATCAATCAATCAATCAATCAATCAATCAATCAATCAATCAATCAATCAATCAATCAATCAATCAATCAATCAATCAATCAATCAATCAATCAATCAATCAATCAATCAATCAATCAATCAATCAATCAATCAATCAATCAATCAATCAATCAATCAATCAATCAATCAATCAATCAATCAATCAATCAATCAATCAATCAATCAATCAATCAATCAATCAACCAATCAACCAATCAATCAATCAATCAACCAATCAACCAATCAATCAACCAATCAATTAGCTTGTAAAGCGCTATTTCCGCGATGTTCAACATCGCTCCTCAATGAATTTTGAAAACAGATGGGTCTTGAGATCCGCTTTGAACTTCGTAAGTGATGGAGAAGTAGTCAGAGAAGTAGGTAGGTAGGTAGAGAGTTCCAGAGAAAAGGGCCAGAAAAAGCAAAAGCAGATTTGGCAAAAGAGTGTTTAACACGAGTTAAGAAGCGAAAAGAAGACGATCGTAAACCGGGGCGTTTAGGTTCACTTAATACATCTGATAAGTACTTTTGAAATAATTTAGATTGAGACTTATACATAAATGTACAAATTTTAAAAATTATTCTATATTTTATAGGTAGCCAGTGCAAGAGAACAAGATATGGAGATTTGAGAAAAGAAAGGGGCACGAGCAACTAGACGAGCAGCAGCGTTAAAGCTTTACTTAAAGGATAGAATGTGTAATATTTGGGCTATTTGACATGCTTGGATTGTTGGCTTACGAAATTGCATGAATTTTAACGAGCAAGCTATATGAAATATTTACTTGACTTAATATGCTTAAAACATTGTAGTAATTCTATTTAATTTTATTTAATAAAATAATAAAATTATGTATTATTAAATTATTTTGTTAATTTGAATAAAAAAAATGCTTTTGGTCCGGTGAAATCCGGTGGCCGACTGAAGCCGAAGGTTGGCTTACTAGGATTGAACTATAGTCACCCTTTTTTTACACTATTCAATCATGTTAAACATTTGTTTGCTTATGAAATAAACGGCCTAAATAAATCAAAATTGTTATTTGAACAACTATATCTTCAATATATTCAATGAATGTTTTACATTCTCGTAGAAACTGGTTGCTGAAATCATACGTTGGCTTAAAGCAGTGGCTTACTGGGTTTCAAAGAACTCTTATGATAGCGGTTTTTTGCACATGTAATGCTTTAAATAAATCAATATATTCATATCACAATTATTTTTGTCAATATAAATATAGAAATTGCTTTTGTCTGGTGAAAAACAGTGACTTACTGAAGCCGTAGTTTGGCTTAATCGGATTTTTTTTTTCATGTATACAATAAATACTATAAAATCAATCAATCAGTCAGTCAGTCAGTCAGTCAGTCAGTCAGTCAGTCAGTCAGTCAGTCAGTCAGTCAGTCAGTCAGTCAGTCAGTCAGTCAGTCAGTCAGTCAGTCAGTCAGTCAGTCAGTCAGTCAGTCAGTCAGTCAGTCAGTCAGTCAGTCAGCCAGCCAGCCAGCCAGCCAGCCAGCCAGTCAATCAATCAATCAATCAATCAATCAATCACCAATCAACCAACCGATCAATCAATCAACCAATCAATGAACCAAATTGAATGAACCAACTCAACGAAAAAAAAAATAAAAAAATATTTGCAAGGCCTGTTCAAACTCGAGAAAACACTTAACCGTGCATATCTACAAACAATTTCGAGATTTTAGTAAAGAAAGAAAAACACAATAGTTTCTTTTATTTGAATTCATTCAAAAATGAAAAGTGACGGTTAATTAAAATTTTAAAAACGTCAATTTTTTAAAAATTCGTATTTTAAACAAACAAATATAACAAAATATCAACCGAAAAAAATAATTATTATCCATTATTATTATACACTCTCCTTAGTAGTTCTCGAGAATGATTCACGTAAAAATAACATTTAGTAAGAACAGTTCACAGCATATCATAATGACTAAATCAAATAAAATACTACCACACAAACAAACATGATGTATGTATTATGTATGTATGTATGAGCAACCGCTAAAGAACCCACCTAAAATATAAAAAAAACAACATACACACAAACCACAGATATTCAAACTCTATATAACTCTATATAATAAAATAAATAAAAATGAAAAAACTATAAAAATAAAATAAATAAGATCAGACAAAACAAAACAATTAAAAAAAGTGAACGGCATTTAGTGAGAAGCCCCCTCGCCACGTCAAGGCAGCCGTTCATGAGGGTGTTAATAATAAGTGCAGGCGTCTCAAATTAGTTATATAAATAATCCTATCTACCTATTCAGGTGCCTTAGCTAATAACGTCTAAGCCTCAACTTACCTATTCATTACAATTAAGCCCTAGCTTACCTAAAATTACAAAACTCAAGAGCCCAATTCATTCGCCAATCGGCCCCACCCCACCACCTACATAATGCCTTGGGCTCCAACTTAGTAAAAAAAATGTATAACTTAAACCCTAAATCTATTAATGAGTATGTGTGTACAACGTAGCCTTAACTTACCTATTCATTACATTATGGCCCTAGCTTACCTAAAATTATAAAACTCAAGAGCCCAATTCATTCGCCAATCGGCCCCACCCCACCACCTACGTAATGCCTTGGGCTCCAACCTAATAATAATTTAAACTTAATAATTAACCTACCTACCGATACACTTACAACATTTAATTTACATTACAAGATTGTTCTTAGAATTACATCATTGCCCTTAACTACCTATGAAATTAAATTACTCTCAACCTTAGTAATAATAAATTAGAATGTGTAATGAAAATAAAATTACGCTCAAATACTAACATATGTGTTTGTATGTATTTGTGTGTGTGTGTGTGTGTGTGTGTAATACGCTGATGCGTGTAATGTGGGTGCAAGAAAAAATAGAAGCGATAAACTTATGCGCCTACCTATTCAACTACATTAGTGTTGGATGCTTCCTATCTATCCTACCTACAAATAAAATTACCCCTATCTAACTTACCTATATAGCTAACTAATGTAATGTGTGTGTTTGAGTAGTTGTGCTAAATGACGCATCTTAAATAAATAAAAATAAAAATGGTAAAATAGAAAAAAAGACTAAAACGTAGAGAGTAAGACCTGTAAGAAAAAAATATATACTACAATCAATAAATAAAAACCTCGCTAAAACCAGGAACCACCGCGTACCTGCTGAATATGTGGTGTGAAACAAAAAAAAAACACAAAACAAAAATCACACCACAAAGTAGAGTAAAAGAATAGGAGTCTCTAACCTACCTATGTAACTAAATTACCTTATGCCCTAGCCTACCTATATAATAAATTAATTTTTACCTCACCTACCTATGCTTCATTAACTTAACTCAAGACTCATGAAGAAAGAGAAAAAGGAGTAAAACAGAACATAAAATACTACCACACAAACAAACATGATGTATGTAATGTATGTATGAGCACCCGCTAAAGAACCCACCTAAAATTAAAAAAATACCACATACAAACACACAAACCCCAGATAAACATACAAACTCTATATAACTCTATATAGCCGCGCAACTCCATGTAACCGCGCAAACTCTATATAACTCTATATAACCGCGCAAACTCTATATAACCGCGCAAACTCTATATAACTCTATATAACCGCGCAAACTCTATATAACTCTATATAACCGCGCAAACTCTATATAACTCTATATAACCGCGCAAACTCTATATAACTCTATATAACCGCGCAAACTCTATATAACTCTATATAACCGCGCAAACTCTATATAACCGCGCAAACTCTATATAACTCTATATAACCGCGCAAACTCTATATAACCGCGCAAACTCTATATAACTCTATATAACTCTATATAACTCTATATAATAAAATAAATAAAAATAAAAAATTATAAAAATAAAATAAATGAGATCAGACAGACTGCTTCAAGCGAGGCAGTACACCTGATCTGATTTTCATGTTGTCTCAGCTCCTATTAACATCATTTCAATCATTCACATCTGTAAAAAACTTAATTAATTAAGTGCTACACTATTATACAGTCTTAACCACAATGCTAACCGTACCAAATTGGCGTCATCAAAGGGAAGCCTTCGAAACTTTTTGATTGGCTGTATAACCCTGCTATATTGCTTTTTATTATAAACAAATAATGTTATTAATTATTTGTATACATGGATTCTAGTCACTTTATATATATATAAATATAATTTATTATAGGCTAATATAATATAAATTCATTATAAAAGCAAAAGTAATCAGTGTTATATATGTACGCACGCAGTTCAAATTTTTCGGGGAGAATTCAAAATAGTTTGAGACCACACCTTGCTTAACATCCGATTCAAACCGAGCCAAGCCAAGCCAAGCTAGGCCAATATGCCTAGATTTATAAGGGCTTTTATATTAAAATTATATATATACATATAAAAGCAACAGCAATCAGTGCTACATATGTAAGCCGCAGTTCAAATTTTTCGGGGAGAATTCAAAATAGTTTGAGACCACACCTTGCTTAACATCCGATTCCACGCCGCCAAGCCGAGCCAAGCCAAGCTGAGCCAATATGCGTAGATTTTATATTAAAA